TGGAGTATTTCTGTAGGCAAAAATGTGTAGCAGTGATGGGACGAGAGTGAGCAAGCAAGGTGGCTGGGGTGCAACATTTAAGGAGGTACCCACTCTCAGATTTGTGCAAGCAGCAAGTGTTAGCCCTGCACTTCCATCACCTGATAGTGAGTTCTTCCTTACATTTTGGAACTTAAGTGCCTTCCTTGGCTCACTCTAGTCCCAGTCCTGCAGGAAAATGCAAATTAAAACAATGATGAGATACCATTTGATTAGTGAAAATTAAAGTGTGATAAAACCAAGAAAGCAAAAATTGAAGTTTGACAAAATCAAGTGTTGGCAAGGATGTAGAGCCCCAGGAACTCCCATTTACTATGGTGTGAGTGGCCAATGGCATATTCACTTAGGGGACCATGTGGTGTTATTTAATCAATTTGAAGTCCATACTCCATGGCCCAGAAATTCCACTGCTAGGTATGTCTCCTAGGGACAAAGTTTGCATAGATGCACAAGGTCACATACACAAGAATGTTTACTGCAGCATCCAAAGAAAAGTGAACAAATAAGTTTTGTCATGCTTAAAGGAAAAAATTCTATAAGAAATTAAAATGGAAGAACTAAGGCTACCTAATATGGAAAAGTCTCAAAAATATAATGTTGAATGAAATACCCAAGTTGCTGAAAGACACATACAAAATGACATCATCTATCTAAACTTTGAAAATATGTCAACATATATTGTTCGTAGATAAAAATACATGTGAAAGTGTGGAAAAAAATCATGATAATGCAAAATATATGCATTTACCCCTAGCAAGGAGGGTAGACAAACAGGACAGTTGTGTACCTGAGACATCGATATAGTGCCTGTCATGTTTTATTAAAGAAAGTCCCGAGAGTGACAGGCTAAGACTGTTTTAGAGAAAGCTGATGGTGGGGTATAAACGTGTCTAATATATTATTCTCTATTATTTTGTACATGCTTGAAATATTTCATTTAAGAAGTTGAGATTCAAGAGAAAAGGTTTTTAAAGGTTTTTAAAAAGCGCAAGTTAAGTAACATGTTAGCTTATGCATCTTAACAGCAAAATTGAAGTGTCTACAGCCAGTCAAATGTTTTAGCCAATTTTACCACTTTGGTTCCTCCCCCAGCAGGCTTCCATGATACTCAAGGTGTCTGCCTCTCCTCGTGGAATCCTACATAATTTCCTAACTGCCAGGACAGACACAGATTATTTGGATCAACTTGTTTGCAGAAGGACAAGCTCTTAAAGCAGAGGTATTTTTGCAATCCTCCACTCCCCAAAATAGGGTAGTCTGGAGATGCCGTTAAGCAGAGGGGGAGCGGGCAGGCCCAGTAAGATCAAACTGAACTTGGCTCAGACAGCAGGTAGGATCCAGACAGGGCCCAGGGACTCACGAATGCACGCGTAGGGATCCGAGATGGTCTTGAGGGGGTCCCTGTAGAAGAGGGGCCTGCAGCGGTCGCAGTGCTGCCCCTCAGTGTTGTGCTGGCAGTCTTCACACACGCCCCCGCTGAGGCCACCGCTTGCCAGGTACATAGTCATGTCGAAGTGACAGCGGCTGGAGTGGCTGTTACAGCTGCACGCTGAGAGGAGAAGAAAGTGACTGAGAGGTGGACCAAGGCCTCGGGTGGCACAGCCAGCACCTCCGCACTGGTCAGGGCACCCACTGGTCCTCCGTGTCCTCCTGCCACTTTGTGTTCTTTGTATAGATGTACCAAGAAAACAAAGGGAGAAAATGTGTGCTCTCAGGGGATCTTTCTAGTACTCTGATTCTGCTCCAACGCTTTCTATAAAATGTGCTCCCGATACGTTAAATATGTAGTTTTTAAAAATCAAGTGAACAAAAGTAAATCATTTCGGTGATCTAAAGTCACAGCGTACAATATTTGTGGTATTCATTAAAGGATGCTTTTACTGACTTATGCTTTGTGCAACTGACATTTTTACATGAAATGTTCTGCATGCTCTGGGATTCCTAGAGAAGACGGCAAAGCTCAATTGGCCTGGCCTCTCCACATAAGCAGGGAGCTGCAAGGGCTGCGGTCAATTTTATCTCATCTGAGGCTGGGCCAGAGGCCTGGAGGGAAAGGCAGTCTGTTTGGAGGAATTTGTCTTCATGGTAATGTCTACACTGTTTGTCTTTTTGGTTCTTTTCCTGTAAACAGTCTAAGGTCAGGCTGCATTTTCCTGGGTCTTGTATACTGTGACTCTCATGGATGAGGCTTTTTTATTAGAGCTCTTCTAGGGACATTTCATTCCCTCAAATTGTTTTTCCTAGTCAGGGAAAAAGAAATTGAATAACAAATTTGTTTGCAAGTTCATTAAAATTCAGAGGCAGCAAACATGTTAGCCAAAACAAAACCAGCATCTTATTAGCCTGAATATTTTATTTAAAACAATACAATAGCCTGTCAAACTCAATACTGAGCCTCA